GCAGGAGGAGCACTGCCAGGGCCCTACAATTGTGAGTTTATAATTTTCTATGAGGAATAAAGAGCGCATCATATCTGATGTATCTCTATTCATATTGATCAAGTTTGTATTGTAATATATATGGTATAATATTGCAATATAATATAATGTTTATTGCCCAGCCATAGAATTAATAAAGGAACACAAACGGTTAGAAGTATGATGCACAACCAACCTTCAAGCTGACCATTCCGGTTTACATTAAAACTTACATTTCCCTTTTTTTTCTATCTAACTAACTGACTTCTTGTGTGCGATTAGACGCCCCTGCGTTTCTTCCTGGCACTTTTACTCCAGAACCGATCCACAGTATTATCCGACATCGACTATTCTAAAACTGAGCTAAACTTTAACTGTTTTTATTCTAATTAATGCAGAGAGATGTTTAAAGTGATTATTGATTTAAAAATATGTTTATATATAAAATAATAATAAAAAACTCTCTAATGGACATGGTGATAATACTTGTGTTAATTCTATCTATACTTCTGGAAAACAGTTATTCTATTGTCTTCACTACATGTGAGATATTTTTTCTTCAATAACACATTTTAATAAAAGTAATATTGAAAAACAAATTTTCTCACAATAATGCTGGTAGAAAAAGATGTTGTGAAGTTGTTAGTGTAAACATTGAAACTGGAAGGAACAATGTTGATCAATGTTGTTGGCCATGTTTTGCAGTCCTAATTCTACTCTAAACTTTTCCTCATTCATTCATAAAAATAGTCAGATTTATTAAGTACAGACAGAGAATTAAGCAGCTTGGCTTCATCTTTTTCCATCTACTCATGTTACCAAAATGTATGTTGCATTCTCCTGACTATCTGTGTCACTCATCTGGTTTTTATCCGTTTCCTTTGTCATAAATTGACTCGATTTGTTGTAACGATAGAGGGTTATGCATGATGCAGCATTACCGCACTCACTAGAATGGGTTTTATTTGGGACAGAAAAAAATGGATGACACAGTCAGTGTGAATGAGGCTTTTGATCAGTCCACCAGCTGCTTTTAGCTTTCACAAACTCCAAGCAGAAACACAGAGCTGGAATCTTTGCTTCCAGTTTTAAAATCTCTTAAATGCACGCACTGTTTAAAGCTGTGTGTGTTTCTTTATCATTAGTGTTTTAAAATCTGTTTCATGTATAGATTCTTGTCACTTGATCTAATTTCTTTTCTACAAAAAAAAAAGTTGAATGCCAATCCTTACAGCTGATCTTTGAAAGGAAAGTTAATCTGTAACGGAAAAGATTTTAAAGTGGGCACGGTGTCCTGAGATTAAGAATTACATATGTTTAAAGAAGCCTTTTCTTTTAAAGATCATACTGGTTTCTCTGGTCTTATTTTTTCATGTTAGTTTTTTTTATTATTATTCTAACTCTTATTTCAACTATTAGATAATAAATCTAAGTTTGGTGAAATGCTGCTCTCAGATGAGTCAGACCCTCTCAAAATTATGTCTGATCCTATATTTGAATATGAAATGACACCTTGCTGAAACATAAACCGACTGGTGTTCTTTTGCTAATGAAAACTGTGTGGGCTGAAGGTTGGATTTATTTCCAATGTATGAAGTAATTGGAAACCTAAAGTGGATTTGAATACCGCCACAATAAAGCCACAAGTCATTTATTAAACGTATCAAGAAGATGAGCAGCAGTCCAAGACTGACTGGAAATTGAAATTCACTTATTCTTTTTACACTGTAGGTTATGCATGTGATTTTTTATTTTTTATTTTAAGTGAGTATCGCATTCTGAGTGCTTCCCACAGTGTTAGTTGTTTTACACTGAATTATTAACAAAAAAAAAGAAGAAATTATGAGCTGAAGTAATTTAGAATAAGATTTCCGTTTCCTTTAAAACGGATCAAAATAAAAAGAAAGGAAATAAAGATGTTGGTAAAAATCAAGGAGAACTTCTATGCAAGATTCAAGAAAAGTTCAAGTGCTGTAGTTTTGGTAAGCTATGAATAAGAAGGATTACTTTATCATTTTCTTAGTTTATTTTAACTTACATTAATTTACTTTGATACATTATACGATACATACATTATACATTATATGATACATAGATTTAACTAAATGTCAAGAGGTTTCAAAAGAGCTCAATCAAAGTCTTAATATATTTTAGATTAATTTACACACCCTTGAACTACATTAAACTAGGGCTGAAACAATTAATTGTTAAACTTAGAGTAGAGACTCTAAACATGCCTTTAGATGACAGAGCAGCCCACTTAGAGCAGGAATTCTACATTTATTTCAAAAAAATATATATACAAATTTTGCATTTAAGATATAAAAAAAACCTTGTTAATCTGTAAATTTGCTCTAAAACTTTTCTACTTGAGGAGGCTAGATAGTTTCATCAGGTTTAATATTGCAAAAAGTCTTCCTTAAGGATCCTTTTGCAATCCAATTATTAATCAATTAATCAAAAAAATAACCAAAAGATTAATCGATTTGCAAAATAATCATTAGTTGCAGCCTTACATTAAACATGGGTAATGTAAAGGACTTTTCCAATTATTATAAATACCTGGTAGTTGTGGCCTCCATGGTTTTGGAGTAATTCCTGTTTCGTGTGGCGCCATGTTGGTTTTTAACCATCCGTTTACTTTTTAGTAAATTAAGAAATCTGAAAACTGCTTTTCTCCTGTTTTTTCAAAGATTTTTGTTAGACCTGAAACAAGTGTTACATCCTATAAGAGGAATTTATCACTTATCTTAAGACACTGTCCTTTGAAAATAGGGACTCCAGCCATTTTTTAAACCTAAAGTATACAGACTTTTAAACTCTCATAATCAAGCAACAAGCTTCTTTAGATTTTATTTGCTTATTAGTTTTTCTGAAATCCTTTGCAAATAATTAGGCCTGTTTTTAATATTATCACAGAACCCTCTTTTCGCTGAATATTACTTTCTGTTGACATTTGATCAGCTTAAGATACCAGCAGGGACTGAAATCGATTTGATGCCCACCCCAGGAGGGATTTATGTGTTGAGATCAGAAAATAGAATCAGCTGTTATTGCTGATATCAATCATGCTCATGGCCAAACATAAAGGCATCTGTCGCTGAGCTTTCACTTCAAGCTGACATAAACGTTTACTCCTTTTATCCATCTGCATCTCTGTCATTGTATTCTCCTTAATGCTCCTATTCATAAATTGTCTGTCTGACAGCCGGACTCCGTCTAACTGACACAAAGCCCTCCTGTAGCTGCTTCTTGTTGACCTCCCTCACTTTTCATACAGCCAAGAAATCAAGGACAGCTGCAGATGGTGCTGATGCTTGCAGATGAAGGCCGAGTGTCTCTATCGCAGAGAGCAGGGAGGCAAATTGAGCAGCAGTAACTGACTGCAGCTTCCTCTGTCAAATCTCCCGCTGACTGGCCATCTGTGTATGGCAGGCTCACCACCACTTGAATCATGTTCAGCATCAGGCTGCTTTCGTTTGCAAATAAAAATAGCCACTATCTAATAAAAATGAAACCTGAGCTCCCCGCAGCCTATGGCATCATCTTGTATGTCCCATTTTTCCACCAAGAACTATAGAAGGGCATTTCACTTGCTGAGAAAAGGAAATGGCGCATTGTTTTTTATGAAAACAGCAGCATCACAACAAATGCTTAGACATCCTTTAATCTTAGGAAGGGACTCTAAAGGGTTTATGGAGCTTGGAATAATTGTGCATAGCCCCGAGCTGCAGAACAAGATTAAAAACAAGTTTAAATTGAGCGTTTTTAGCAAATAGCGCTGATGCAAAAGGATACTTCTTTAAACTTTTTAAGACCTTATTTTTGTGACAAACGTATATCCTAAAATTGATAAGAATAAATGCAAGTTGCAGCACAAAGTGTTATTCTTGTCTTATCCATATTTATTTTAATGTCATACGAAGTAGGGCCACAAACATCCAGAAGCTTTTCATTCAGGCACTGACTGGGGCACCCATGTTTACTAAACCTTGCTAAATGCAGAAAGGGTCTTCAGATAAAGCCTTTGGTTTTTTATTTCTTTTTCAGAAAAAGAAAAAACAATTGAGACAAGACCTTTGAGAACTGTGCAACAGAGGGCAGGAGTAAGAACATTTAATAAACCTGTTTTTTAACAAATAAACTATATTTAGTTTTTATTTATTTATGTACATAATCAGTTCTGTCTTAAATATATTTATTTCCAGTTTTATCTGAATTATAACATAGACTTGTTATTTTTAATTAGTGCACTTTTGTCCCTCTGTGCTGTAAAAGAAATGGCTTTTTAGACACTTCAGATGTAATACACCTTGATGAAATGTTTATTTTTCCTAGCATCGTTGTGTACTCTCTGATTTGTCACCACTCATGGTATTTTAGTGAAGTGTCCTGGTTTTGTTCTCAGTTTTGTTTAATAAAAAAGTCTCTTTATACCTCAAAGAAAGGATTGAGTTACTGTCGTCTTTGTGTTTTGTTGCTTTTAAGAATTTTTGGCTTCCATTTTGCACATAAAGCCTTTTATGGTGTTGTGTAAAAATACCCACAGGCATCCTTTTATTCCATCCAAAGTGACATCCTCCTGCAGCACTGGGGAGATCACGAAGCGGGCAGAGTGGTGCTTCACACCTGACACTGTGTCCTTGTTGTGCTGGATGTTGTGATTTAACTTCAGGCTTCCGCTGCGTTATGCAGAAGTTTTCTCATTTTTATCTGCCCATGAGTGCCGGCTGAGTTTTCACAGCCTGATTCTGTTTATTAACACTTTCTCAGTGTCTTTACTTTGCTGTACTCTAGTGCTATTGCTGTTAATGCTGGTAAAGGTGGTGTTACATGTTGGTGTAGCTATAGTTCTCAAAGCTGCAGGCTTCTCTCCAACTCCTTCTCAGATCTTTTCACGCCAAAGTAGTTTTTTCTTTGTCCTTTAAAGTGTCAAATACATTGAAACAGATGCTTATGAGATGATGTTGTTTGTCTTCTAGGGGACTCGTTCACACAGTTCCGGTTTGCAGAAGAGAAGGATTGGGAGATGGATCCATTCACAGCCAGTCAGGTGAAACTCTGCAGTATTTTCATGACCCTTATCCAATCATAGGTCTCACCACTTGAGATTTAATTTAGCACTAAAGTGTGAAATGTGTTAGTCTATTATGGCTGAATGCAAAAATTAATCAAGATGAGCGCAAGCTACGTGGACTTCTTCACCATGATCTCATTTCTTAATGTATTTGTTTTTTTCATATATTGTTTTAATTAGGGAAAACAACAGTAAACACCAGTTTATTCTTTTATTCAAGCATTTTTAATTAAATTTCACCACTTTGTCTTTTGTTTAATTTTATCTATTGAACCTTAGAAATATTTTCTATGGCAATTAATTTGTTAGACATCTTAAAGCCACAGCTTAAATCATCCACAGATTGTCTGTTGAGTTTATTTCTGACCTCTGGCTTTGTAATTCCAGATCTTGTGTTTTTATCAGCCAGTCCTTAGATGTTTCGGGTATATTTACACTTTAGGTGATGCTGAAAAAAAAATCAGTGTACAGCCTTTTGGCAGCAACCTTCAAGAGCACCAGGGCTTTCTTTATTAGGATGCCACAATGGTACATTTAACACTTTGTTTTTATCTATATCTTGGTAAATTTACGCTTTTTGAGTATTTGATTTAACAAAGTAATGTGACTGGGGAGACCAATGGGTAAACAAGGAAGTAATGCAGTCAGTCAACTCCCAGCAGAGGTATGGAAAGAAAAAAGGGAAAGTCCAAGACCAAATGTGAAATGGCAACAAAAAAAAAATGGACAGAAGTAGATCTCAGAATACAATATGATTATCAGAGTTTAATGAAGCAGGAATTTAAACCTCAGAAGCTGCTAAGTTGATGGATGCATGACGGGACAAATACATCATTATATAACGGTAACAGTTGCTTTAAATGGGGAGAAAAAAATACTTAAGAGTTGGTGTTCTTTTCACCAGGAATTAAAAAATAGGTCAAGGGTATTCTTCTTTTCCCATAATTCATTGTGGGTTGAAGCAGATTGGTCAGCTGGGGTCGGCGGATGATGAAGTTCAAAGCTGAGATAAGCAAAAATTGTAAAAAAAAAAAAAAAAAAAAAAAAAAACTTAAACAAAACTTTCTGTGACCCCAGAGGACGTTCAAGAAGTGCAAAGGCAAAAACGTAGCTTTGTAAAACTGAAACATCAGGTTTTTCAGTATAGCATTTAATTTCTGTTTTGGGCTTACCAGATCAGTATTCCCTCTCCAGTCATCTGGAGAGGGAATACTGATTCCCAGCAGTTCATTTTTAATCTCCCGCTGACTGTTACCATTGAGTGAAAGTTAAACACAAGTCAGAACTGCTGGAGTTCCTCAAGTGTTAAATAAACAGTAAAAAGAAAAACTTAATAAACAGAATATTTGTATCCAGACAATGTTATATTTTGCCTTAAATTTTGTTTAGTATATTCTATTGTCCTTTATTTTACCAGGTACATTGTTCAAGAAGTAATTCTTAATTGGGAATACAAAACTCCACTACATGATGAATTGCCTGTTCATTGCCTGCAGCTCTTTCCATGTACGGTCCTACATTTTCTCCAGTTCTTGATAATGGTCTCTGGTCTTCCACAATATTTACATAAAACTGTAGGATGTTTTACTTTCTCACCCTGACTGATTCATCTGGACGACATCATCATGATCCTATGTAACCTACTAAAAAACCAAGACTTCAGCCGGTTGATTTAATTGATAGACGGGTGAACTTAAATTCAGCTTAATCTGGGTTAAATATTTGATAAGACTTGGGGCAAATATTCACCAGGACAATAAATTTGAATGTATACCTGAAGATAAAACCTTGAATTAGTCATGATGCATATTTATACACTACAAAAACATATTTCAAAGGTGTGTTTATACTTTTGAAAGTCACTGCTGACACAGACGAGTCAAATGATGTCTTACTTGTTTGCTGAAGAATTAACTTTCCACAAAAAAAACACCAAAAATAGTCTTAATCAATAAATGAGAATATTATTGGACACATTATAGAAATTAAGTACTCACATAATGTTTAAGCCTTTATTTCTGATAATTATGCTAATGTTCTCCTTACAAAAAGTTAAAATGTTACATAAGACAGATTTTAAAATGGGATTTCTGATATGAAAATGTAAGCTTATGCTTATTTCCTTTCTTGTCAGCGTTGTTGAAGGCGTATAGCAATTCATTGACACTTCTGTTCTGTTTAGAAAATACAAATTCAGGAAGCTCCTCTAAAACTAAAAATTTGCATTTCTTTTTTGGAACTTTGAACAGTTTGTTTAGAATTTGCATTTTAGTTTAAAGGAAACGCGGCTAGTGATGGCTTTTCTGTTTTAGCAAAGATGGCTCCCGTCTCTGTAGCAGATCTGGACAGATTGGAGGTCAAAATTGTGTTATTCTTGAGGAGAAAGTATATAGCTGAATTTTGCCCAGAGCTGCTGGCTCTCCTGTGCATTTGTTTGGTTTCTCCGAGCAGTTCCCTCGGCTCTGGACCACAAAAATAAAGCCGCGCAGCTTTAGTTTGAGTGCTCTGGATTTGGGAAGAACCAGTTTTTGTCCAATTTAGAGTCAAAGCTTTAAAAATAAGTTCAGTTAATCGGTTCTATGGTTTTTATTAAGTGACTTATAAAATAGTTTTGTTGTTGAACTAAATAACAGATGTTACAATATGTTTCTGTATTAACATGTTTTTAATGAATTGATAATGCATTTAATGGTTTTATGAGCTATAGAGTCGCAAACAGGCCTTTCCTGTTGTGAAGTGGAACCTTCAAGTATAGGTTTTGCATTTTTAACCCTTTAAAGCCCGATCCAAGAATAAAACAAAACAGAAAATTACTTTTTTTTTTGGTTTGAATTCCTTATTTGCCCTTTTAACTAAAAAATAAAATAGAAATACATTTTTGATACTAATAATTTATTACTGTGCGATAAGTCAAGATTATTTTTTGTGTAGTCTTCTACTGGCTGTTATCAGGTATATCTGATTGTGTACAATAAGATTTTGAGCAAAGTTTTTACCATTAAATTATGCAAAAGGTGTCAGATGCAAAACATTTCAGAAACCGTATGTATCAAATACGATACATTTGGCATTACAGGGTTAAGCATTTCTGCAGCCGTTGGATTATGCTATAGTTTCAAAGTTTTCAACCAACAGGATTTCTGGCTGCTTTGAATCTTTGTGATGCTCCTGATGCCTTTTCTTTTAAGTAAACTTTGCTCCAATTTCCTGCCTACAACCAGCTTTGTCTTCTGTTTTCTCCATCTTCAGATGTCAGCCGTGTTTTTGGACCTCCCAGCACTCGCCCAGAGTCTCCAACAAGTACCTCTCCATCAAAGACTGAATCTAGAAGCTGAACTGGTTCAAGTATGAGCTTTGCTTGGGCCTGTTGTGATCTCAGTTGAAATTGAAGATGGTTAAATAAAGCATAGAGTGGTTAGTTCTTGCAAAGGAACAAATTAGTCTATACAAAAGTGCTTTTCCATTTTTCACGAATCTTAAAGGAGATGATTAAAATTTGCATTTTTTTCCCCCTCTTTCCTTTTTTGTTTTGAATTGAGACTTGACAATGTGGTTGCGGATAAACAGCTATCCAAGAAGTGTTGTCGTCAGAGACCATTTTTACAATTTTTTTGTTCGGCTGTTGTATTTTAATATAATTTTAGGATCTTAAACTGCCAGGTAACTAGATACTGTGGCTTAAAAAAAAAAAAAAACATGACAAACATACCTTGACTTCCATGCTTAACAGTGGTTTCTGCTAGTATTTGGTTTCCTCCAAACTTTGCATCATGTTCAAGATGTGATCCCTATTTGTTTCAAAAGTAGGATGCCCTTCTTGATGACCCTTAGGACTACTGTTGCCTTTTTAATCTTAATCCCTAAAGTGAGTTTTTTTTCCGACCTGAGTCGACACTTAAATGAATGATAAATGTTTGGACTCATTTTCAGATGGTAAAACAATCAATCGCTCATTTGAAAATTACATTTGAGCTGCCTTTACTACTCCTAAGACAATTACTGATATTCCTTTTCTTAACAATTGTTTGCTTTTGTAATTAGTTTCTAATCCAATGGTTGCTTTTCACATTTAAAGCAGTGCAGGTGAATGTTGTGTTCCTGCAGAGATAAAAAACAGTATGTGTATTTGAAGTTGTATTCAGTCGGGAAAAACAGGACTTGTACTGATTAGAAAATAGTTTCAGAACTTCTATATAGTAAATACTGTTAAAAGTTTTGTCTTCATGTTTTAGGTCTCGACACCAGTAGATCTACCAGCCGTGAGCCTCGCACCTAAACAGGAAGGATCCAAGATGGAGAAATTTCCTCCTCCATCTGGTGCTTTTAAAGGCCTTGGCACAAATCAGAAACCCTCTGTGGCTCCAGCGATGGGCTTGGACTCCCAGCTCTCCTCCGTACCAGTTAAGCCTAAGGAGGAGGATGATGGTGATGAAGAGCTAGACCAACTACTTTGTTTACAGAAACCGGTTTCAGGTGATGAGGGGCAGCAGATGGTCAGTGCTACAGAGGAGAAGAGAGATTCTCCAGAGAAAGGTGAGTAGAATTATAAGTGCTGTATGTTTATAAAACCTCTAGTTTAAATGAATTGAGATGTAGAGAGTGATGCTCATACTTATGCTAACTAGACTAAATGGTCCTAACCCCCCCTAGGATTGTCACCTTTAAGCTCTTGATTTTAATGTTTTTGTAAGAAATGTCCCGAGTTCATTTAGAAAAATCAATATAGGAGTATGACAAAACTCAAATCCTGCTGTAAGGAGCCATGGGGTCTTTTCTTGCCATTTTGCTAATCTAATGAAGCTAAAGTGGAAAACATACTATTGCTAGCTTATTGCTTTAGAAGCAACTAAATTGTGATTCTAATTGACTAAACAAAACCTAGTCCTGTTTGTTGCAGCATGTTGAAACTGTCCTTTAAAATCTAGAGAGCCTATTTGAGACACTAATATTAAACGACCTTTGTATTAAAAACATTTTTTTTTCTTTTTAAACATCTGATATAGGAAATACTATTTATACAACTAGAGATGTATAAAAAAAAATCTTAGAACATATTTCATGTTGTTATACTTTATTCAAGCACATTAGTTGGCTCTTTGCCATGGTAGAGGCTCCAAAGAGCCGCCAGTTGCAGACCCCGCCTTTAGAAATGTCATTAACCTCACTGGTGGTGCTGGAAGCAGGTATCCCAAGACTTATTTTATATGTAGATGTAAAATACTCATGTTTGTTTAAAGGGTGTGAAGATGTGAACGAGGAGGTTACAGAAGTGACTGAAGAAAAAACTACAGACAGCAGTATTATTAGCCCTCCAAAGTCTACGACTGTGAAAGAAGCGATGACTGAGGAGGATCTGGAGGACTGGCTGGACAGCATGATCTCCTGACCAAGAAGAAGGTGCATGATTAAAGACTGGACACTCTACTTAAAAGGATCTTGTAAAGTTTACAAAAATGTGTTAAACTAGTGTTTTTCCATCACTGGTCTGCTTGGATGAAGACTTACAGTACGTCCAAACCTTTGATAAAATGTGTGCTCAGCGCTGTACATTTAGTAGAGAAGACTCTGTTCCTGTCAGCTGCCAAAGATTGATGGCTAAACAGGCAACAAATGATGCATAGTTGTATTGCATTAGTTTATTTTCCTCCCTTCATTCAAAAGAAACCTTCCAAAGCTACTAGATACGTACAAATGGCCATACAGCAGTTCACTGTTCAACTAGCCAATAAATCATTTATAATTCTCTGTGGTGGGGTTCGCTTACTGTGGAAAGAGATGCAGGGTGGGTAGGGCTCCACCAAACTAAGCAACATTTACACAAGAAAGGTCTAGATTTTATACAACAAATGTATTTTTTTTCTGCTTGTTTGAAAGCCAAAAAAAAAGTTTTAAATCAGCTTGTGATTAAGACGGGAACTAGAGCACTGCTTGTGTTAAGAACAAAGATTAGATTTGCATAGTTTTTTCCAAAGGCACTTAATAAACACCTAAAGAGTCATGTCCGGTCGGTCCTGAAGGAAACATGTTCATTTCATTACACACTTTGAAAGGCAGATCATTTGACATTAACTCGATCAGCATCGATCAATTCTAGGAGGGCAAACACCCACTCAGGTTTGCACTGACCACTTGTGCATATACAGACATTCAGTCGTCATGCCTTAACATGTTTCAGATGTCTACACACAACACACTGTACACGGTTGGGTTTAAGCAAGTAAAAAGGCAATATGATTCAGAATCAAAAGAAGAGATTGCATAAATGGGGCGCTGTGGCAGGAAGTAAGAGTCAAATCAGCAGTAAAATTCAAGATGTGTTCAGGTTCAGTTAAAAAGGGTGACGTCAAGTAGGATGGGGGGGTAGGTGCCAGCTGTGGTGTCCCCCCTCCCTAACCCAGCTGGTCCTCATATTGCTTACGGAAGCAGTCTCCTGTAGGGAAGAAGTCCCAGCATCTCTCCTGGTACATCTTCCACACATACGACTCCTGGAACAGAAAGGGACACAATTTTTGAGTTTTAAAATATGAGGCATCTTACCAAGTATTCATATTAATCAATAATGAAGTGGAATGAGTCCTTACATTTGTATGACATACAATGTTACACCAATGTGTCTGGTTAAACAGTCCTATTAAAATGATTGTTTGCATGCCTGAATTTGTATTTTACATAAAATAAAAACTTAAACCTCTGGTGCACCAAAATTGTCCAAACAAACCCACGCATTGCTTCGTTCTCCTGCAACATTTCAACCCACTTGAAACGTTGCATAAGTAAAACCTACTGAAATTGGAGAGCTTCATGTCTATTCTTTGTTTTCTTATTGTGCAGAGACGGCGCATAAAGAGGCTGCACTGATGGCCACAGACAATTGTTTTCACATACCTGACCCGTGTGTTCAGTCTCATCCTTGTTGATCAGGTACATCAGGAAGAACCTGCTCATAGGAAGTCAGAGGTTAATCAGAATGTCCACACTTTAAACTTCTAATATCTATAGCTGCACTTACAGGTAGTTGGCCAGGTTGTGCTCTTGTAGGGTGTGAGTTTCAAACCCATGAGGCGTTCGATCAAAGTAGTCATTTCCAATACCACAGATGAAGCATTTTGTCTGATGAAAACAAGAGGTGGTTTTATAAAGCCCTACAATTGTACTGACATTAGTAACACTAGAGTAAAGTATTTGGAGGAAAGACTCATGAAGTACTGGTGATCTTATTCACCAATTTAAATTATGTAATCAGACTAAAATATAAAATTATGTGCAAATTCTGGTATTGGAAAATTGGAAAAAAGAAATTGGGCAATAAAAGCACTTCCAAGTATGTTAGAACAGGGTAAACATCCTACAGTGATGTATACTTTTTATTCTATATTACCTCCTAATGTTATCCAAGCCTTAGCAGATAGAACAAAAAATTACTTCAGCATTTTAGCTTAAAATTTGTTTTTCATTCAGTAAAGTAACTAGTTACTAACCAGCTCTAGAAGTATTATAGAAAAATACCATAACTTTTTATATATTTTTTTCATTATTTATCCTTACAAAGAAATATGAAAAACAAATATTTAAGATGTTTATTTAATGCATTAATTTTTACTTTTTAAATGCCCACTGAGTTTGCTCAAAAAAACTAGATTTTCACCTTTTAAATTGTCAAACATAGTGATGGTAGGATCATGATGTGGGGCTAATTTAGGTTGTGGTGCAATGTTCAGAAGAGTTAGAACTGGTATGAGTTTCATTCACCTCTTAAACTCTTCACCTTGATCAAGAGCTAAACATTTAACAATTGGACATAATTGGTTAATCAGGGGAAAATTATTCCAAAATATTAAAAATAGCTAAATTTGAGTGTTGAAAAGCATTGATAGAAGTAGTCTAAAATCTTGTATGTAGAGTTAGAACTGAAACCACAGCAGTAATGGGTTCTAATCCAAAATGTATATTTTTCTAACAGTTGATGTCTTACCTCCATGTCCTCCTTCACCTGCTCCTGCTGGTCTCTCAGCTCACCAAAGGCATCAATGATCAAACCTATAGGAAGTTGGAAAGTTCTGACTAGGCCTGAAGCACTTTAAGATCTGTTAAGACAAGAGTCAATATTTACCCTGGATAATGGCCAGCAGGATGACGATGACAAAGAAGAAGAAGGTGATGTCAAACAGGATGCGGTAGAGTTCATAGGGATCTCCAGCCGGGTCCTCCAACTCGTCTCCGATGCCTCCTCCGGCTCTCACACCGACATACATGTGGAACAGGTAGCACTACGCAGAAGCAAAATAAAATTATGATGAAATTATCTGCCTGAACTTCAGAAAGTTTTGTCATGTGCAAATGAATGGAAATAGTAACTTAATTCCTGCATACTTCTAGGGTAAATACCAGCTATATATTTAGTTAAATACCTCTGCTTAACTTTTGATGTTATGAAGTTTAGATATATGTAATATTTTCAATAACAGCTTAGAGAAGTAGCTTTAGAACCTATCAAGGTCATAAAGTTTTCTTAAAAGGACCTATCAATAGGTAGAGTGGTTTAAAAAACATTCCAATCATTGCAGAAAAAGCATCTCTACTCAATCTTGTGTCATCATGCCATGATCAAGGTCGGTAAGATTTGATCGTCATTCTATTCAGAACAAAAGGCAAAGGAATTTTTTCAGCTCCAAACATTTGCTTCATTAAAAAAAAAAGTAATTTAATTTCCTGCCTTTTATTTTTGTTTGACGTACCGTCATCATGTCGTCACACTTCATGTCGGGCTCGTCTTCATCCTCGCTCTTATTGTAGAATTTTCTAAAGAAGTTGAAGGCCACCACAGTATAGAGGTAGACGACTACGGCCAGCAGACCCACTGTCAGAACGAGCTGCAAGGACAGGATGCTCGTTAAAAAAAGACAACGATGCTGGTTGACAGCTAATAGAACAGCAACCTTCACTGGTTTCTAAAAAGGGATTTTTTTTTGGATCAATCGTTCAGGGTCTGAGTCATTCTCTACTCAGCCAAGTGCAGTGCTTTCAGGGTCAGCACAGTCATGAATTTCAATATTTAGACACTTTAAGCTTTTAACACCTCCTTAGATGGGATACAGTGGGCTGGACTCATAGTTTTGAATTGGAAATGCAGACTTATGGTCATTAAATCATTTTAACTGTTTTTAAAGAGCTATACCTGAAACCCATCTTGTAATCGTTTATCTCTATAGGATCCACAGTATTTGTTACTCTAATTCTTTATCAATACATTCTCTAGATTCTATTACTTTTTACTATTAAAAGGCCCTATGCTGTGTCAGAAATCCATCCAGATTTTTATTTTTTCCTGGTTGTGTTAGAAAGCCTTTTTTTTTTTTACTCGCTAGGAATAGGAAGCCGCATGCAGCTTTGCTTCTTGGATCCATCTTGCATAAAAAAGTGAGATGTTCTAGTGCATTCAAAACATGTTTTAAAACTGATTTAATAAAACATCACTCATGTCATTCAGATATAAATATTCAGTGACATTGATTTTAACGGCTCCTCAATGCTAACTAATCAGCAAATCCATTTGTTTATATTAATCACTAAGGAAAAACTAAATGGGGGATATTTCCGCACTTATTTTTTGCTGACAGAATTATTCTTTTAAAATGCTGTTCAACTGCTGGGTAAAATGTCTTGGGACCAAACAAAAAAATAATAGTATTTTGGCTCCCTCTAGTGGTAGAAACACTCACTTGCTTGCCATTGTGAGTGACGGATGACAGGATGGTGCGAAGCGTCTTGAAGCCCATGGCGATGTCCAACAGATGTGCAGCAAAGAAGAAGTTGTTGAAGTGTCCAAAAATAGACATGATGGTATACCAGATCAGGTACAGGAAATACTGGAGGGAAGAGATGTAGGTGGAACCTTTTAGTAAAATAAATACCCCCAAAACACCAACGCTGTCAGTCTGTTTCTAAAAATCTACAGTTGCTTTAGACTCACATTATCAGTCAAAACCACTCCCATTTTCCAGATGTGATATTTTGTATCAATTGAGCTTAACCTGTAAGAGAAAAGGAAAAAAAAATGTTTATTATATACCTAAAGCAACAACCTGTGTTATCCAGACTTATCAACTCATAGAGCTATTTACCCATTTATACTATGCTGTAAAATCTGCACAGCTGTATGTCACATCAGCATCTTTTTCTCTGTTGCTATGGACTTTTGTGTCTTTATTTAAGCAAAATAACAACAGTTAAGAGATACAAACTTCAAAAATACAAAAATCAGTTTCTTAATGAATATTTTTGTTTTGAAGATCTACTTTAAAAAAATATAAAAGGTTTGCCATAATCTCAAATCACAACTTGTCTAACCGTGAGTTTAGTGTTTTAATTTCATTAAAATGGACAGTTTGCATTTAGTTTTGAGAGAATTGATTGACTTTATTTATCTAACATTGGAGAAATCTACTCGTTACATCAGCTCAAATAGTCAAAAAGAAGAAGAAGGTGCCAAAGGAAGAAAAAGGTGCATG